ACTGAAGACTCTTTCAAAACGCGACCGTTTCTCCCAGCTACCTTCGATCTCTCTCTCTCTCTCTCTCTCTCTTTCTCAACCAACATCACCGTGGAAAAGAAAAAAAAATTAAGGTTGCACGCCTCCGTGTGCCCTCAGCTGCAAAATGCCGCTTTCTAAGGACCTCATCCCGCTAATGCAAACCCGGCCACGGTTATTCTCGTGCCAACATTGCTGCACACGCGCGGCAGCCAGCAACCCGGTGATTAGGACTGATGGAAATACAGATTTGCTAACGAAATCACGCGCGCAACTGCCGATTGACTGATTGCCAACGGTGTTTGACCTGGTCGCGGCAGTCGCATGGCTTGAGGTGGCAGAGGCGTAGCAAACACACGTTGCCTGGGGGAGATGGCTGAGTGTGTGAGTGTGAGTGTGTGTGTGTGTGTGTGGTGTGTGTGTGGGTGTTGTGTGGTGTGTGTGTGTGTGTGCGTTTGTGTTGTGTGTGTGTGTGTGTGTGTGAGAGAGTGTGCGCGGCCGATGTGTGTGTGTGTGTGTGTGTGTGTGTGTGTGTGTGTGTGTGTGTGTGTGTGTGCGTATGTGTCAGTGTGTGTGTGTGTGTGTGTAGTGTGTGTGTGCTGTGTGTGTGTGTGTGCGTGTGCGTATGTGTCAGTGTGTGTGTGTGTGTGTGTGTTGTGTGTGTGTGTATGTGTGTGTGCGTGCGTGCGTGCGTGCGTGCGTGCGTGCGTGCGGCGCGGGTGTGTGTGTGTGTGCGCGCGGCCCTGCGTGGTGTGTGTGTGTGTGTTTGTGTGTGTGTGTGTGTGCGCGCGCGCGCGTGTGTGTGTGGCGTGTGCGTGTGTGTTTGTGTCAGTGTGTGTGTGTGTGTGTGTGTGTGTGTGTGTGTGTGTGTGTGCGTGCGTTGCGCGCCGCGCGTTTGTTTGTGTGTGTGTGGTGTGTGTGTGTGCGTGCGTGCGTGGCGTGCGTGTGTGTGTGTGTGTGTGTGTGTGTGTGTGTGTGTGTGTGGGGGGGGTGTAAAGCCACGTGCTGCTCATGTTATTGAACAGTTGACCGTGGGCAGTTCGCCATTAACCGTCTTAATATTAGAAGATCGAGATTGGTGTGGGTGAAACAGTCACTCCCACCCCACCTCCCTTTTTCCGCCACTAGCTACGCGTCCCGCGTAACGAATCAATGCTGGCTGGTATACGACTGATTCTGCACACACTGACAAACACTGAGTGTCGTTGAATCCCGGGTACCAGCCACTGATATATATATATATATATATATATATATATATATATATATAACTAGTACATATTATCTACATATTATATAAATCTATAATATATATAATATAATAGATCTATATATAACTGGTACACGGGGACTCAACGGCAGCCACCTGAGTGTTCACCTGTGGCGTCATGATCAGACGCGTCTACGTCGTCCCATCGTTCCCAGGGAGACGCCGAGACGCCAACCAGCGCGGTGACGACAGCCGTAGCAGCAGCATCACCCTCTCCTCTCCTCCTCATCCTCCTCCTCCTCATCGCCATCCTTCTTAATTACTCGCTCGTGAGCGTTAAACCTCTAATCATCAGAGGCGCGCGGGGAGTTGTGCACCCGCTGCTGCTGCATGCGCCCGTGTTTGTGACGGAATCCTGAGTCTTGGCATCGATCGATCCAGGAAAGATTTGAAGCCGGATGATGGTGTGCGTGGGGAGGGGGTGCTGCGCTGCGCAGAAAATGTGTGATTGTTTGTTAGGATACAGGCACGTTTGTTTGGCCAGGTCTAGTTGTTAGGCAAACGCTGGGAGGTTTGATGCGCGGCCTGCACTATCACACTTTGAAACGAAATTATTGACCATATCTCTCTCTCTCCTCTCTCTCTCGTCCTCTCTCTCTCCTCTCCCTCTCTCTCTCTCTCTCTTCTATATATATATATATACAATGCGTTGAAACACATAAAAGGGCAGTGTCAAAGAACAATTTTCGTGATGCAGTACAAAGGCGGGAAACAAATAAGATAAGGAAAAAAAGCAGAAAGGGTATGGAAAGTGATTGCTTTTGATTTTTATTATTATTGCTATCGCTGGTTAATGTGAAAATGCCGTGTGTGACCCGGGTGGAACCTAGTGCAGCTTATAGGGTCTATGTCCCCCAGGGTACTGCCGGAACGTACCCTGGGTACGGTCCGGTATACGCGCGAACGTACCCTGGTCACTATTTGATATGGTTAGGGTTAGGATTAGGGTTAGGTTAGGTTAGGGTTAGGGTTAGGGTTAGGGACTAGGCGTAGGCGACTCCCTAGACTCGTTTGTGGAGTAGGCGAGGTACGGTCCGGCATATTAGATAGTACCAGGGTACGTTCCAGCGGTAACCCGGAGGACATAGACCCTCTCAGCCCAGTACACGTTGGCGCAATAGCGCAAAAAAACGCCATAAATGTCAACCAAACTCGCAAGAAGTGACAAGATGTATAAAGAGAAATGAATTTCTTCGCATGTGCCAGTATATACATGTAATCTTCACGTATACGTCTACGGATTTTAAAGTAGCTGAGTAGTTATACTTAATTTACCATGGATCAGAATATGTGCATGATTTAAAGGGAAAGATCTTATATTATATGCTCTCGTGCACTTTCAGTTTGGACCCAGAGCCCAGCCTATGACGAGCGAGTTGTTTTAATGATCAGCTACAGCACATTGGGCGGATTTGCAATGCTTTTCCGGCGCATTCACGTGATTACTTACTCACTTTACAACTTCTTACTCGCTTTTATTACTAATTCTAAATTACTATTTCTTTCTAATATTTTTCTCACTCGCTTTTTGCAAGTACGGTCCGCTGGAACTTACCTGTACTCGCAGCATCTCTAAAATGCGCAGATCTAGTCGCCTTAACTGCAATGCCTGTCGCGTGCCGTTTATTAAAACCTCATGTCCTCACGTCAAATGCAGACATGAGGTTTAATAAAGCACGCGACCAGTCTCTCATAAGTGTCTGCTTGCATCATTCCTGCTTTCTTACATGAGCGTTCTTGCAAACCATATTGATATATATACACGTAATACGTGGACGTTTATTAGCGCTTCCGACATTACGAATACGTGCTTAAGGCATTAGGCTGGCCAGACACTAATCACTGTGTAATCTTGCAATAATTTGTCTATCAACATGCAATCGCAGACTTAGAGCACAATCAGGGTCATAATTGCTGCAGGTGATCAGGAAACAAACAGCTCAAGCTAGTACCAATGACATACGTACAACCATAGATATAAACTGCGCACCCCCCCCCCACTCCACTACGCATCATAGACGCGCACAAAAAAGATAGGAGTCTAAGTAACGGCCCGATAGTCTATGCTATGTGACATCACTACACTAATAAGATGTCCCTAAGCTACCACGCAAACCAATCAGGCCAGCACTGATCCAATCACTGCGTACTTATTAACACGAACAGATTAACGCGTGAGACAAGGAAGAGAGACAGACACTCGCTGGCAACGGTGCGACGGTGGCAACGGTGCGAGGGGACGGTGATGGCAACGGTGCGAGGGGAGAGGGGCGTACGTGACAGCGTTCTTTACCTAGTTACGCTGATATATCGATTGGTCGCATCTCACACGTTTGTGATGGCGTTCCAACAGCCATACGTGCACACGGACAGCGTAACGCGTACGTATGAAAGCTGAAGGGGTGAAAGCAGTTAGGGGGCACAGTGTCAGGGACGCATACAGACATATAAACCTACGTACGATATATAAACCTACAGATTCTCGCACAAGCACAAGCACACCATGCACCCACCCCACGTATATGCGTGTATGGTCTCGTGCACGCGTAGCCACAGACGCGTAGCCACAGGCGCACGCGCACGCAGGTACACACGCACGCACTCCCGCTACCGCGCACGCAAGCAAACACACAACACACGCACACACATACACACACCATAGTGTGTGCGTGTGTGGTGTGTGTGTGTGTGTGTGCGGTGCGTGCGTGTGCGTGCGTGCGTGCGTGCGTGTGTGTGTGTGTTTGTGTGGTATGAATGTGTGTGTGTGTGTGGTGGTGTGTGTGTGTATATGTGTGTGTGTGTGTGTGTGTGTGTGTGTGGGTGTGTGTGTGTGTGTGTGTGTGGTGTGTGTGTGTGTATACGTATGTGTGTGTGCGTGCGTGCATGCGTGCTTGCGTGCGTGCGTGGCGCGCGCGCGTTGTGCTGGTGTGTGTCGGTGTGTGTGTGTGTGTGTGTGTGTGTGTGTGTGTGTTCTGTGTGTGTGTGTGTGTGTGTGTGTGTACGTGTGTTGTGCGTGTGTGCGTTGCGTGCGTGCTGCGTGCTGTGTGCATACGTGTGTGTGTGTGTGTGTGTGTGTGTGTGTTGGTGTGTGTATGTGTGTGTGTGCGTGTGTGTGTGGGGGTCTAGCTGACAGGTACAGAAAACATAAGAAAAAGACAGGACACGAGGTAAAACTACATTCATCGTGTAAGATGTTTGTATGGTAGGTTTCAATGGTAGGTATACGTAACACGTGGCATATAATCACCGACGAAAAAATCCGCATTAACCCATGCTGTAAAAAACCGAAACTAATCACTGTAACTACACTAAATCTAGTTATTAAAGAAAAATCAAAACCACACTAATAACGACAGGAAAATCAATAATTATGATGGAGAGAACACTGTACTAAATAATGAGCGTGCAAATCTTGCGCAGTGACATCGACAAATTCGTTGAAATTTTACATAACAATTACTTCTCCATTATCAAACAAATTTAAATCCTAGTACAAAACAATCTGACAGATCAAGCAATTAGGTTTAGATATCATAACTACTAGGTAAATCAATAAAATTCTCTTCTTATTATAAAGACTGTAGCTCTTTTTCACATTTCCACAACAGTCCTCACTGGCTAAAACGTTTTTCATTGTCATCATTAATTTACTAATCGTGTTAGAGAATTTTATCATATCTCAGCGGCAACGTATCATCCGTACATGGCTTACCTGAAATGGAAAATTTGCCTCCAAAGCTGCAGCCACGCCATCTGGTGTACACTGGTAAGTTGGCAAGCCTTCAAACTTGAGCTAGTTGCACAAAAACGTTAATTATGAGGGAAAATGTTGAAGATGAATCGTTCCAGCCTCATTTTATTGACATTCAGAATAACGTCTTTATCAGTAATGTATTAAATTTTGGTAAACTAGTTATTAGAGGTACACTAATTTAGGCATTGCTCAACATTACTTACTGAATAGATTACGACAAGAAAAACAGAATTTTCCATGCAAAACATTCTTCGGCTGGTTTCTCACCCAATCAATAATTCCAGGGAATGTTTGGTAAAAAAAACCAATCCCACTGCGATTGCATCATTGGTCCTTGCTATTGTCGACCAAGGACAGAACCTGTGGAACTGCTGCGAGTCCCATTTCCAACGCGTAAAATTTCCTATCTATACTTCTACAAGGAATTTGGTGTCCGTACTATTGAGAGCTATTGTTACTATATATTTAATACTGTATATAATACATGACTTACGGGATTAAGCTTTGAATACTCTGCCAACTTTGGAATTTCATCCAACTTGGATTTCAGCCAAAAGAATCTGAAATCTGTCTGAAAGGACAATGGCAGTGAGACACGATCCATATGGCGCGCAAAAACCGTTGTGCCGCAACGTATTTCCCAGCGCGTCGCTTCAATATATTCAAATCCGAGCATGCATAGGCACCTACTGTACAGCTATGCTACAGTAGTGCGAGAATAATCACGAGAGAGATTATGCACGTGTCTACGACGCATATGCATTGGTGAACGTGTTAAGCCTAGCACATACTCACGTGCCATTCTGGGGGCCATTGTGAGACACATAAACGGTTAGGACTAGGTAACAGTTAGTATTATATAATAGTTTTATAGCTATTTTTATAGTATTATAGTTAAAAGGGATAGTAGACT